CCTGTGAAGGTGGATCACGTCGATGTCACGTCGGAATGTGACGTGGCGTTGCGTGCCTCCATGCACCTCCAGGTACTCCAATGTCCAGTCGTGGCCATCACAACACTGACCAACACACACACATACACACTGACAGACACACTCACTGACAGACACACATACACTCACTGACACAGACACTCACTGACACACACACTGACACACACATTGACAGACACACACTCCCTGACATACACACACACTGACAGACACACAGACACACTCTCTGACAGACACACAGACAAACACACACATACTCACACACACTGGCACACACACACACATTGACAGACACAAACATGCACACTGACAGACACACACTCCCTGACATACACACACTGACATACACACACACTGACAGACACACAGACACACTCACTGAAAGACACAGATACACTCACTGACAGACACACAGACAAACACACACATACTCACTGACACCCACACACCCACACTCACACTCACTCACTGAACCTGATATTGCATTGCCTGAGCTCATCAACAGCTGTATGCCAAAAGCCCTGTACTGGACACCTGGGAATCCTTTTCTACAGCCTTGACCTCCTTGTATGAGGACCCCTTCCATTCCTCCACAGCCAGGACTTCTCTCCATTCCCTTAAACAAGGAAACCGTGAAGTGGAAAATTACATCACAGAGTACCGTGGCTTGTCATCAGACACTGGGCTCAATGAAACCACCCTAGTGGACCAATTCTGCCTTGGATTAAGTGAAACCCTTAAGGATGAACTGGCACAAGTGGGAGTTCCAACCTTCCTGGAAAAATTAATGGTGCTAGCCACCCAGCTGGATCTCCGGTTCAGAGAAAGAAGGCAGGAGCGATTTGAAACAAATGCTCTGCCCAATCAACGCTCCCAACCTGCTGGTGAGACCTATACACCTATCCCCACCATGGACATAGACGAACCCATGCAGATTGGAGCACTAAATACCATGCTCACAGTAACTGAAAAAGCCAGAAGGAAAGCCAAAGGCCTTTGCTTCTATTGTGGCATCAGCTATTGCCCGATACATCCTCCTCGCCCTAAACATAGCCATGTGGGGGCTCTGTATCATCATCCAGCAAGTCCTCCATTGCCCCTTTTTTGTTCAACTCTGCATGCTACTGGACCGAAAAGAACACCTAACCAGACCAATGGCACCATCACAGCCCTGGCTAACCCTGCTGCTGTTCCAGAGCCTCAAATAGGCTGCGCTGGCTACCTTCCAATCCCCAGCCTCTGTCTCCCCTAACATTTCCTGCTCCAATAGAGAGGATATGTCTCCAGAATGTGTAATTGCCTCCAATGGAACTGTGGTCCGCAGAGAAGACCTAAATGCCTTTGAACAGGCTCTTAAGGCAAGAGCTGCATCCCCTTCTCACCTTCTTGCCTCCACTGCCTTCTTGAAGGATCACAACCTGCAAAATGTTCCAACAATCTCTGATTCGGATGCCTATACAGACTTGGATTCCCTGTCTGAGCCTGAACTGGATCCTGTAGTTGAAGCCCTGTCTGTTCCCCCTAGGAGGTCGCTCCTTGTGAGGGGGCTCTGTCATGGCACAGCCCGAGCCCTGCAGACAGCAAGGTGTGGCCACCCCTTTAAGAAACCTGGCTGAGTTTGAACTCACATTTCCAGCATCCCAGTCAGGTTCTCTGCCATGCTGTTCACCAGGGGGCTTCAGTATCCATCTGTATTTTTCTGCTTCATGACCCCTTGCCTGGATTAAGCAGTGCTGACCCACCTGCAGCCCTTTTCCAATTAGGGTCAGCTACATATACTTAGCAGGCTGTAAGAGCCAGCCCTACCTGAAACCTAGTATCTGGTCATTTTGCCTGTATGGGGTTTCCTGCCGGATCTTTGCTTCGCTACTGATTGATTTCCTGGACTCTGACCTTTGCCTGCTTTACTGACTACGTTACTCCGCTGCCAGCCCTGACTTCTGCTTCTCATCTGACCCTGCCTTTGGATTTCCCCTTAATCTGTACTGCGCTTCTGTTTTTTTGCCTCTTCTTTTAAATATAGTCTTTTCCTTTACTGTGTTGATTCCCTTTATGTATTTAAATGTTTCTATCATATCCCCCCTGTCTCGTCTTTCCTCCAAGCTATACATGTTAACCTTTCCTTGTAAGTTTTATCCTGCAATCTATGAACCAGTTTAGTAGCTACAATAAATAAATGTAGCAAGACAAGTCTGCATTGGAATATGGGTCCATTCTGCTAAGTAGTAAATTGAATTAAAATGGTGCCATTGTGAATGCTTATAGCAATCTCTGTTCACTGAACATTATCCTTTATCCACTGAACATTATTAAATTATCAAATATGCCATATACATGAGATTTTTATCTTGGAATTTTGTATTTCCTTTGTTTTGCTGACACTCTACTCATGAGTTTACAAAAATCTCTCACAATATAGGACAAATACTTCTTTGCCCTAAAAGCACTGTTCAAGATAATAACATGTCAGCAACAGCCATCTGTATTATTAGTTATTTTTGTGGTAATAGGCTTTTCAGGTTAACCTTATTCAGTAACAAATCTGCAAATATGTCATTCTGTGAGTGTTTGCTCATTTCACCCAGTTATTAACTGACAAGAAAGAAATGTCAACAACCAGAGCAGACATGACAGATTTGGAGTTTTGATATGACAATAGCCTCTAAGCGTTCAGCTGGAGTTTATTGGTTATAGAACAAAAGCACTGCAGATGTCAAAGTCAATTACAGGACATTTTATACCCGTTACATTCGAAGATCGCACGCATCCATGTTTCTTTAAGGTTCTTTAAGGATCAAGATAGTATGATTTATACATGGCAGAATTGAAAAGTTATTGTAGCTTCTAAAATATTTTAATGCTAAAGACAGTGGATGGAAAGGGAAACATGAGTATAACTGCCCAAGATTACAGGTTGCCACTGCTCCTTAACCTAGAGGTGAAAAAAAGAAAAAAAAAAAATTTTATTTCAAAAGAGTGCAATCTTTATCTTGGCTTGTAATCTGAAGAAAATGAGATGTCACTTTACTTTGTTTACGATTAAAACTTTCACTACTAAGGGCTTCGTGAAAAAAAAAAAAAACTTGCAAAATTCACATATTTTTTGTCCGTTAAAATAATATAATTCTTCATTCATCCTTGGAAAGAGAAAAAAAAGGAGGAATTGGAGGCACACTCTGATTCTCAACCCAAAAGGAATCTGGTCTGGAATCTGAATATACATAGTAAAGAAAAAAAGGCAATTGGGGACACAGCCAGATGCTCAATCCAAAAGGAATTTTGTCTGGACTACAAACATACATAGTATTGGAACTGAATCCCCTGATTTGTTTGCCGAGATAGGTAATTTACTAATTTTAAGCAGCCTTGAAAAATGTAAAATTGTATTTGTATGTGCATGCTGTCATTCATCCTTAGAATCACACATTTTAAACCTGACAGGTTTTTTAGTACATAGTAAAGAAAAGTGCTCAACCCAAAAGGAATCTGGTCTCGACTACAAACATACATAGTATTGGAACTGAATCCCTTGATTTGTTTGCTGAGATAGGTAATTTACTAATTTTAAGCAGCCTTGTAAAATGTAAAATTGTATTTGTATGTGCATGCTGTCATTCATCCTTAGAATCACACATTTTAAACCTGACAGGTTTTTTTAGTTGTTGTTAAGTTTTTTGGGGGCCTACGTTGGTCAGTAAAAAGAAAAAAGTTTCTTTTGCTTAGATATGTCATGTCAGCAAACACACACACTTTGACTGGTAATGTGCTTCATTCATCCTAATGTGACACTGGTGGTTACAGTTAGTGCAATGCCTTACTGCAAGTATTTGGAAAAAGAAAATCATCATACATGTAATAATCCAAAAATGAAATTAAGGGAGGAGATTGGTAAGGGTTATGTTTCCAAAAGAAAACATAATCAACAGTAGTGTAATTGCTTCTGAGAATTAGAACCACTCTTCTTTTTTTAAATTTGACAATTTTTATTGGGACATGCGTATACATCCAAATCGTGTATGTACATATGTTAGACGTCATGTTGAGATACACATAGTTATACAGTATTCATGCCAGTGATGCGTCACTCCAGGGCGCATCTCAAATTAGGCACTAGGGTCACTTACATTTGCATATTGCACGTTCCAAACAATTTTGTATAACAATCAGGGTGGGGGAGAGGGGGAAAGAGGATGGAGGGTGGAGAGGGAGGGGAATCCAGAGGTATTTTCGTTTTCTTCTCCACTTCTCATGACAGGGGTTTAAGCTGAGTATGGATGGTGATGGTTTAGGGTAGACCATTCTCATAGAGGGTTCACTGTGAGTAGCGAGGAGTTTGCCAGTTTAGTCCACGTCCCGCATGCCAGCCCTGCATACTTTCCTGATTCTCTTCTCTGTTGCTAGTGTAGGAGTTTTGCTTTTGCTAAGAAGAGTTTGGGGCCGAACTGTTGTTGGTGCATAGCTTCATACGTCCAATTGAGCCTAATCTGGTGTAGCAAGTGAGTGTGGGTAGTCGGTTCCCTGGATTTCCAGTGTCTTGCTATCATAAGGTGTGCTGCTTTAAGCGTGTGGTATGTGGTATAGTGCTGGGTGTGTTTTGGGCATTTTTGTGGGGGAATATATATAACAGGCACGTTATTGGGTCAGCGTCTATTGGAGCTCCGAGCACATCCGATAGCACCTGCAGAGTCTGGGTCCAGAAGAGTTTGAGCGTGGAGCACGTCCACCATATGTGAATCATTGTTCCCACTTCCTGTTCGCACCGCCAGCATAGGTTTGTAGAATTTGGCCTTATTTTGTGAAGTTTTGCCGGTACTATGTACCAGCGATATAGGATTTTCCTTTGGATTTCTAAGTGTTGGGAGCAGGGTGTGAGGCCTTTGTGGGCTGTATATGCTTGTTTCCACTGTGTGGGGCTAATTTTGCTTCCTAGTTCTCTGTGCCATGCTTCTTTTTACGTTGCATGTGGTAGTGGTTGGCTTTGCATAAGTGTACGGTAACATTTTGACAGGGGTTTGTGTGATTGGCAGTAGTTTTCCGAGGTAAGTTGTTCGCCATCAGCAATTTTACCTGGAGGTATGGGAATAGGAGTCTGGTGGGTAGATTATATTGCTCTTGGAGATGTGAGAACGTTTTGAGGTGTCCACCTTGGTACAGGTGGAGGACATGGGTAATGCCTTTCTCCACCCATGGTTTATGATTGAATGTAGGGATAGTCAAGCTAATGGTTTGCAATGGTGTCGCCATTGGGATCTTGGGGTGGATAGCCAGTCCCTTTCTCACCCCGTCCCATGTATTAATGAGCAACCAAGTAGTGGGTAATCCATCATAGGGTTTGTGTCTACGGGTATTGTCAGTCCAGAAAATGTGATGTAGTTGGTCGGCTTTGAGCCAGAAGGCCTTAATCCCTGTCCATTGTGGGTTGGAGTGGGTATCATGCGAGACTAGCATAGTGCTCAACAGGGCTGCTTTGTGATAGGCATGTAGGTTTTGGATGCCCAGCCCCCTGTCTATTACTGGTCTGTATAGGAGTTTGGTGGCTACCCTACATTTTTTGTGTTGCCAGATAAATTTTAGGAGTAGGGATGTGACCGATCGTAGGTAGGTGGGTGGTAGGGGTATCTGCAGTGTTCTGAAAAAATATAGCAGTTTTGGTAGTAGTGACATTTTGATGGCGGTTATTCGTCCTAGCCATGAAAGGAATTTCCCTTTCCATGTTTTGAGTGTGGTTTCAAATTCTTTTAGAATCTTTGCGTAATTCGCTTGGAATAGTCCTGAGGGTTTCTTTGTGAGTTTGATTCCTAAGTATGTTATGTAGTCTGACCGCCAGTCAAGAGGGAATGCCTCCTTTAGCCTGTCTCTCTCCTCCCCCCTTATCCCCACTGTCATTGCTTGTGTCTTGAAGACATTCAGTTTGTAGTATGAGTGGAGGCCAAAAAGTTTGATCTGTCGCTTAAGGTTGGGCATAGATATGAACGGTTGTGTAAGGGTGAGTAGTATGTCGTCTGCAAATATGTTTAGTTTATAGTATTTGGCTTCCAGGGAAATGCCATGAATGTTTGGGTCTGCTCTAATTTTGGAAGCCAGTGGCTCTTGGGCCAGGACGTAGAGCAACGGGGACAGAGGGCATCCCTGTCTGGAGCCATTGGTGACGTTTATCATGCGTGATGGGAATCCTGCGTAAAAGACTTGTGCTGAAGGTGTACTGTATCCCCAGTTTCCGAGTGCTGTGCATGAGATCCAGAACTTTGTGGGTGTTATCTGAGCCTTGCCTACCCCCCACGAACCCTACCTGGTCATCATGGATAAGTTCTGGGAGGATGGTCTAAAGTCTGTTGGCTTGGATCTTCGCAAATAGCTTGGCATCCGTATTGAGCAGGGAAATAGGGCGAAAGTTTGGACACGTTGTAGGGGTTTTACCCGGTTTGGGGAGGGTAGTAATATGAGCCTGTAGGAGTCCCGTGGGTAATGAGTGTTTGTCTATGGCATTATTAAACAGGGTTGTTAGAGCTGGGGATAGGATATCGTCGTATAATTTATAGTATGCGTTGACAAATCCGTCCGGGCCTGGGGCTTTCCCCGCTGAGAGAGCTTTCATCATGCTTTTTACCTCTTGTTGGATGATAGGGGCAGCAAGGGACTCTGTGTGCTGGTGTGAGGGGAGGTAGGGGGGTGTCTTGTAGGTATTCATCAATGGTCGCGGGTGATGTGGTGGATGTGAGCGGGTTGCTTCTCAGATTGTACAGGGATTCATAGTATGTTGCAAATTCGTCACTGATAGCCTACGGCGCAATTAGCCGGTGATTGTATGTATGCTGTTTTAGATGTGGCCTGTCTGTCCCTGAATCTTTGGGCTAGGATTTTGCTTGCCCTATTTCCCTGGGAGTACTGTGTAGCTTTCAGTGTTCTCAGCGCGTATCCCACCTTTGCAGGTCCAGATCCTATTCTGCGTCTCTGAAATATGGTGTTTCAACTCTGTAGTTGGGTGTGTTTGGTTCAATTTATTAAGGTCATGCAGTTGCTTATGCCAGGTAATATTTTGGGCATGGGATGTCTGTTTGAGGAAGTGGGCCCTTTTTATTAATTCTCCTCGGATAACCGGTTTGTGTGCTAACCAGGTGTTCTCTGGGGATATACCTGGCGTTGTATTTTCCTTAAAGTAGTGTGTGAGTGAGTCCTCTAGGTGCTTAACAAAAGTTTGGTCATGCAGTAGTGTCAAGGGCTTCTGTTGTGGCTTTCAAAGTTATCTAATAGCTCGATTGTGATGGGTGCATGGTCTGACCACGTAATTGTCACTATGAAACAGGTGAGGACCTGTGTTAAGTGTTTTCCCTCAATGAGAAACCTATCAAGTCAGGTGTAAGAGTTGTGAACTGAGGAGAAGTATGTATAATCTTTCTCTGCAGGGTGGAGGACCCTCCACGCATCATAAAGGTTGTGTTCATCTAGCAGTTTCTGGTATGTTTTGCAAGTTCTCCTGGTGTGTAGTAGGCCTTGCCCCGTTGGTCCTTTTGATGCGTCTAAACTACGGTCGAGAATGTGGTTGAAATCTCTGCAAAGTATCAGCATTCCCCTCCGGACTGGCGACAGTTTAGCTAGGGTCTTGTGTAGGAAGTTGCGTTGTTCTGAGTTTTGTGCGTATATGTTTGCTATTGTGTAGGTGATGTCATTGATGGTGCATATTAGTATGATGTAGCAGCCCTCTTCGTCTATGATGAGGTCATGTTCTGTGAATGCTACTTGGTTGCTAATCAATATGGAAACCCATTTAGTTTTGGTTTTTGCGGTTGCGTGATATTGGTGCGGGTAAGTGAGTGGTTTGAGGTTGGGCGATGTGGTGTCTCTTGGAGGCATACAACCTCCGGTGAGGACTTTTGAAGGTCACGTTATAGGAGGTGGTTTTTAACAGGGGTGTTTAGGCCCCTAACATTATGGCTAAGTATTTTCATAAAGGTAGGGTAGTGGTGAAATGCGTGCGGGATTGCTAACTGTACGGTTGAGTGTTCCCCCTGCATGTTTCTGTAAGGCCTATTTGTGGAGAGTACTTGTGAGGTGTTAGGTAGTGGTGTGGCGGATACTTGCAGTTATGTAACTCCGTTCTTGTAGGTGCTTCATCAAGCTGGCATCCGAGGTGGAGCGTGTCTTCCTTTGCTGTGTTTGTGCCGTCATCAGTTTCAGGGATTTGTTGTTAGGTATCCCCTCTTGGGTTCTGGATTGGTCTGGATAAGGGAGGGAGGGTAGAACAGTTAGGTGGAGAAAAGAGAGAAAGAGTGCGGTTAGGACCGCGAAACCCAGAATGGGCTGAGTACCCAGAATGGGTACTAAGGGGGTTGGCAACATTGAAAACAATAACAAGATAATACAGGCAACTAGCCCTAGAACATTGTTTCATATTTCGCTATGGTATTCTCTCTTTTTTTAATTTTTTTATTATTTTTTTGGGTTAAGCCAGGCAGCTGCAGTTATAGCCCTGGGTCTCGCCCTCCTGCACCTCTTGTCCTTGTTGGTATAGTTATTAATATAAAGATATATATATACACAATTTTTTATTTTTTTTATTAATACCGGTAACTGCGGATAGAAGTACGGGGTGCATATGAGTGGAGGAGCGAGGAGGTATGGGGGGTGTTGCATACGATTATCAAGTGGATTGAGTAACAATCAGGGAGCAATGCTCATCAGTCCTGAACCATTTACAGCTGCGTCTGGATCTGATTAGTAAGTGTGGAGATCATTTTTTTGCCTTCTTCCAGTCCTGCTGCACTCGCTGTGGTGAGGCGGTCTTCCCATGCTGCTTGCGGACGGGTATGCCCCATGTCCTCCGGAGATGTTGCGTGAGTGAAGACTCCGTTGTGCTGGATGATAAGGCGTATGGGATGTCCCCACCTATATAAAATCTTGTGTTCCCATAGGGTGTCCGTTACCTCCTTGAACTCCCTTCTCCGTTGTAGTGTAACGGCTGAGAGGTCTGCATAAATTTGTAGCAGGCTGTATTTTGGTGGGAGATCTGTGCAGTTCCTCGCTGCTTTCATTATAGCTTCTTTTATGTGGTAATAATGGAGGTGGGTCAGCGTGTCTCGTGTAGCTTCAGCCGGCAGGAACTTCGGTTTGGCTACCCGGTGTGCCTGGTCCAAAAGTAGCATGTCTGTCAGTATATCGGGTAGTAGGCATTGGAAAAACCCTGTTAGGAATTCAGGTATGTCCGCCGACATTACCATTTCTGGGATGCCACGTTTTGCCGACGTGAACGGTCTTCAAGGTCGGAGATTTTAAGCTGGGCTGAGGTAAGTTGCTTTTCCAGGGCTTGAACGTGGTCCGCCATATCATTATGGGCCTCTGCATATTCGCCAATGCGGTGTTCCATGTGGGCCTTTCTCACGCAGAGCTCCTGGATGTCTTTGCTGAGCGCGGTCACTGAGGACTGGATGTTTTTCAGCAGCTTGTCGGACATCTCCTCTAGGCATGCCCTTAGGATATCTTGAGTGACTGGGATATTCCCTGGGTCCAGTGAGGTTTGCAGGGGGAGAGTGTGATCCCCGCCGCCATCTTGGTCTGCCTCGTATAAGCCTGGGCTTTCGTTAGGTGCCGGTCGCGCTGCGAAAAAGGCTGTTTTGTCCCCCTGGTCAGGGTTTTTCTTACCCTTTAGCTGTGCCATAACGGTGAGGCTGGTGGAGAGGGTATTCTGCAGTATTTGCTATTATTAGTCACTGTTTGGGCTAGTTTCAGAGCGGAGCACTAGTGCCGTGCGACCATCTGCTTCAGAGTCCAGGCCACGCCCCAGAGCCACTCTTCTTGAACACCTTTGCCACTACTTCCTCGACCAAAGCCACCACCACCACTATAAGTAGCATGCAGCCTTAGCATAGAGGCAATAGCAACATGTAATTTACATCTGATTCAACACCCAGGAGGCAAATGTTTTTGTTTTTGTTCTCACTTCCTACTACAATAACTCATTCAAGCATTTTGTCTTTTTGATGTCCCCCAAGATGCAAGTCAGGGATAGTGCAGCAGTGACTGCTTTAAAGGGATCATAAGAGCCACTCTTTTGTAAAGATTTAGCACAGAATACCAAAGTAGGGTCCACAATTTCTGGTGTTGGTGATGGCAATGATAAATACAGTGGTGAGAATTCTATTTTCCTCAACACTGCAGACACAGTAGTTTTACCTCTGTTCCAGGAGCTACTCGACTTTAATTGTGATGAGCCAGAGGAATTAGAAGAGAAAAGTGTGGAAAGGACAAGCAGCAGTCCAATCTTTTCTCAGGCAGCTAGTGGGCACTCATCCATGCATCTTCTCAACCTTTTTAAAGTCAATTTCTATGTGCTTTAGACTCACCTCATCCAATGTAGATGGATGTGATATCAACTGCACCTCCTACAACTGGCAATTTTACTATCACCACAACCAATACCACCCCCATCAACATAACCTGTAACAACACCATCAACATTTCCATTAGCTTTAATCAACCAAATGCTAGTGTACAGACTAGTGTTGTGACAGATTCCACTGTCACTGATGCAAATCCATCTTCATCTTTAGCAGATGCAGAGCAAAGGCTTGAGAGTATTGTATAGCACCAATAAAGTTTGGCATCACTGTGAGTGCCTCCAAGAAATTCAACTTGCTAAGTGTAAATTGTGCAGCAAAGAAACGAGTAAAGGGCAACTGAGGACCATCTCACTAGTGCCTGCATGAAGCAACATCTGCAACGATAACACACGTCTGTATTACTGAGGGTAGAAGCAGCAATAGAAAGAAACTCACTAAACTATGACCAAAATATAACCATAATGGCAATTCTGATATCTAACCTGACCGAATCTGCACCAATCAGACATTTGCATTTCGTGTCTAGTCTAAAATCATGTTTTTTGTATGTGAACCCTATATAAAATGTGGGATTCAGCATTGCACAAAGCACTGATTTTTTTTTTTTTTAAAAAAGCAGAGATGATTGCATCCAGCAGAATGCATATTCACACATTATCATTAATTTGCTTTTTTCAAGCAACAATTATATTAGTATTATAGTTAGTACTAGTTGTCACGGCAATGGTGCATAATTCATTATTGCACTATGGAATATTGTACTTTAATGTAATTTGTGTAGTGCCTGCCTGGTAGAGGTGGTATTGTCAATGTCAAAAGGGGTTGTATGGAAGGTTTATAGCCTTAATTCCTCTTTGAAGCTGGGACCCACACAGAGGTCAGATGACAGAAGGGGTAATGTAAATTGCATAGGAATGTGAAAAGGGGAAGATGTATCCTGTGATTAATCGAAGACATTGCAAGGTGTGAGATTCTACACTTGAAAAGCCTGAATGTCTGGCTTCAGCCATATGGCCTGTACTTCTTAATTGATTAATCAATCTCTTTGATATGTTAATGGCCATTAGCCTTGTTCCAGTATCATATCCAAATGAAAAAAATAAATAATGTTTACCCACATAATAATAATTAAGCCTAATTTTTGTTATATTTGGGATGTGACAAGTGTCATCTTCTAAACAAGCCCAAACATGTTTGGAATAACTTAACCACAGGGGAAGGGATTGTGATGTGCGCTATATTGGGTCACAAGTAAGGTCTATGACATATCTATAGAATGCAAAAATATTAACAAATTAATAGCTGCAATTATTATTTCTGTGGCAGGTACATAAGAGAAGATAGAACCAAATGATTCCATTGGATTGATGGACACAAGGGGGTGGTCACTTAGTGTCTCTATAGATATGCCTTAACTCCACCTCTGGGTGAGGCGTGGTAAACCACAGGGTATATCTCTAGTGATACTGAAGTGTGCCTTGTACTTGCTTGAGGGGCCAAAATCTAATTCTAGGTGAGTCACCATATTTCCTACCAGAGACCCCCTGGGGCAGAAGTATTTACTTTGAAAAGCTGAGTAAGTGATTAGGACTTTTTGTTATTTTATCCCTTTTGTTTTTATCTGTTGTTGTTGTAAATAATTTTGATTGTCATCTAGATTTTTGTATGCACTGTGACCAGTTTTTGCTCATAATAAATATTCCTTGATTAAGTTCTGCCTTTGTCTGGAAAAGAATCACGTTACCTGAAGAGACAAATTAGTATTTTGCAATCACATAGATATTTGGTGGATTTTTATTATTGATTTACCTGGGGGACCAAGGCACCCCATTTATAAATTGTCTTGGTGGTGGCATCGTTAACATAATAATATTTATTACATTATGCTTAAGTGTGGATTGTGTTTAGTGGGATTTTATCATTATTTCTGGTCTAGTGCACACAAATAGGGAACTTTAACCCTTTCACCACCGCAACTATGTCACGCACAATCTTGAAGTAGGGTGCGTTTGTGACACTAGTTATAGTTAGTACCTCACCCTGTGGTGTCATAATTACAGCCCCCACCTGTTGCCCATGGGTGGGGATGGGAGGGATACTAGGTTCACCCATGGCCGTTTAACAAGTAGACCCCATCTGCTGTCAACATGCTAACAGGGGGGCGGTGGGGGACATTTTTTTTTATTTACTCATCCCTATCTGCTGACCATGGGTTGGGGAAAGAGGGTAAACAGTGATCTTATCAACACTTGTTGACCAATGCCTGATTAGATCAGGCAGTATTGCAGTCATTATTTGCTTGTCAGCAGTCATAGGCAAGGTATTTCATTCTTATTTTGCTGCCTACATTTGCCCAATTTTTCAGTACTGAAATTCTGCTGTACTGAACTTCAGCATGATGCAAATTCTGCCATCCTGAAAGTTTGGCCGAAGGGGGTTTATAAGTTGTTCAGAAGAAAACATTTTTTTTTTAACCTTTTTTTTTGGAGTTGTGATCCAAAAGCAGTGTTTAAAACAAATTACATTCCTAATGGTACCTGCAGAAAAGCTGGATGAAGTCTGAAATGCAATGCCTGTATTCATTTGCATGTGAAGCTGGGAACTCTGGGATAGTTGTGGAAACATATTTCCCAAGTTCCTATGTCCAATTGAGGCTTTCCAAAGTTTTGTTTGAAAACAAAAAGTTAGCATTTAGAAATTATAAAAAAAAAAACAGAGTGAGGAATACAAAATGATTTATAAGATTAGGCAGAAAGAGGCTAAGCAAGATATAAGAGCTTCCAAATCACGCACAGAAGAGAAAATAGCACAGTCAGTAAAAAAAAAAAAGGGGGACAAAACATTTTTTAGATACATAAATGAGAAATGGAAAGTAAAACAAGGATTAGTTAGATTAAAAACAAAAGAAGGAAGGTATGTAGAAGAGGATAAAGGTCTAGCTAACTGCCTCAATTAATATTTTTGTTCAGAATTTACAGATGAAAATGAAGAAAAGGGGCCTCAGTTAGGAAAAAGAACAAATGAGTCATTTGTTACATGTGAGTTTACAGAGGAAGAGGTTCTATTTCAACTGTCAAAAGTAAAGACAAATAAGTCAATGTGACCTGATGGAATACACCCAAAGTTATTAAAAGAGCTTAGTGGTGTACTAGGAAAACCATTAACATATTTATTTAACCAATCATTGTTAACAAGAGTAGTCCCAGAAGATTGGAAGTTAGATAATGCTCTGCCCATTCACAATAAAGGTAGTAGGGAGAAGTCGGGCAACTATAGGCCAGTGGGCCTTACTTCAGTAGTGGGGAAAGTAAAGGAAACCATATTAAAGAATAGGATTGTTCAACTTCTAAAATCACATGGATTTCAAGATCAGAGACAACATGGGTTTATTTCAGAGAGATAATGCCAAACTAATCTTATTGATTTTTTTGATTCGGTAACTAAAATAATTGATCAGGGTGGTGCTGTAGACATTGCTTACCTAGATTTCAGTAAGGCTTTTGACAATGTTGCACATAGAAGGCTTATCAATAAACTGCAATCTTTAAGTTTGGATTCCAATATTGTTGAATGGGTAAGGCAGTGGCTGAGTGACAGGCAACAGAGGGTTGTTGTCAATGGAGTATATTCAAAGCATGGGCTTGTCACCAGTGGGGTACCTCACAGATCTGTACTTGGACCTATTCTCTTTAATATTTTTATTAGGGATATTGCAGAATGTCTTGTTGGTAAGGTATGTCTTTTTGCTGATGATACTAAGATATGTAACAGGGTTGATGTTCCAGGAGGGCTAAGACAAATGGCAAATGATTTAGGTAAACTATAAAAATGGTCAGAGTTGTGGCAACTGACATTTAATGTGGATAAGTGCAAGATAATGCATCTGGGACGTAAAAACCCAAGGGCAGAGTACAGAATATTTCATAGAGTCCTAGCCTCAACATCTGAGGAAAGGGATTTAGGGGTGATTATTTCTGATGACTTAAAGGTAGGCAGACAATGTAATAGAAAATGCTTGGTTGTATAGGGAGAGGCACTAGCAGTAGAAAGAGGGAAGTGCTCATGCCATTGTACAGAACACTGGTGAGACCTCACTTGGAGTATTGTACGCAGTACTGGAGACCATATCTCCAGAAGGATATTGATACTTTAGAGAGAGTTCAGAGAAGGGCTACTAAACTGGTTCATGAATTGCAGGATAAAACTTACAAGGAAAGGTTAAAGGATCTTAACATGTATAGCTTGGAGGAAAAACGAGACGGGGGATAGGATAGAAACATTTAAATACATAAAGGGAATCAACACAGTAAAGGAATAA